CTGAGTGTGAGTTTCTTCACTGGTAAAATAGGATCAGCTCCAGTGTCTCACAGGGCGTTTGGGAGGATGAAGTGGAGGGAGTAGACAGAGACCTAGCATGGAGCCTGGCACAGGCAGGGACTGAACACATACCCTCTAAAGTGTGTTTACAGAGTAATATGGACTGCTTCTTTTGCCTGGCCGATCGCCTGCAAGCTTGAAACAGTAATCTTCCGTGTCTGCAAACCCCCACATCTGCCAGATCTCTGAGGTTAATGTATGGTCACCCTCTTGCTTGCTTTCTTGTCCTCTGTTCTCTCCCCCTCCACCCTCTCCAGTGTGATAGTCACATTGCCTGTAGCATGTTGTTGATGAGGTCTGGTTTTGGGAGGCTCAAGGGCTGAGCTCATGACTGACATGTGAAGAAGAGTGCTACCCCCTCCTCCAAGTCCTCTGAAGGGCTCCCTGGCTCTGTACTTTAAGGCAGCTTGTGTCCCCCATGGGCTTGACCAAGCATGAGTCCCCTTCTGCCATTCCACCCGGAGGCCTCAGGGTCAGATGATGGAGAGGGGATCCAAGAAGGGCCACTAGGGTCATCTTACCTCTGGCCCTTGGGAACTTTCAGGACACTGCTTGGCCCAGCTGCCAGTGCTGGAAATAGCCAGCAGTGTTGAAGACTTTCCAGAGTGCTCTGATCCCTTTCCAGACTTTGGGAGGGTGTTTTTCCAGCTCAGCTACTCGCTGGCATGCATAGGTCAATATACAAGGTGTTCTTGGAGGAGCCAGCGCTGAATGTTGATTTTTGCTCCCTGGGACGTGTTCAGGGGAGGAAGTGGGTTTTCAGGTTGTGCTGGGTATAGGATGTGGTCTGGGTGATTACTATTGCACACAGTGGATAAAGTTAACCAGGATTTTAGAGCCTTTTCCTCTTTTGTGCTTTTGTACTGAAGCACCTCAAAAGGAGCTTTGTGTATTGGGGAGGTTCCCTCAATTCTGCATGTACTTTTTTTTGTTGTTGTTGTTTTTGGCGACAGGGTCTCCCTGTAGCCCTAGCTGGCCTGGAAGTCACTATGTAGACCAGGCTGGTCTCAAACTTACAGGGATCTGCCTGCCTCTGCCTCCCCAGTGCTGAGATTAAAGGTGTGTGCCACCATGCTTGGCTCTGCGTGTATTTTTAACATTTGAATAGCATTGGAAGCACATGTGTTGCTTTATTGTATTCAATAAATCTTTCTTCAAAGTAATTTGTAAGACTCAAGTTCAAATCCCGAGTTTGACATTTACTTGCTAGTTGTGTGAGCCCTCTTTATGCACTTAACCTTGCTTTCTGAGCTTCAGATTCTTGGCTGTAAAACCAGGACAAAACTCACAGCTTGTTACAAGGTATTAGTGCATTACCTCCTGTAAAGCACTTAGTGTACGGTTCTTGCCACAGAGCAATTTGGTAATGGTAGCTTTTATCCTAATTGTTAGAGAGGCAGCTTGGTATGGTAATAGTGGTGATGATGCTGGCGTTGACAGTTATTGAGTGCTTCCTTTGTGTCAGCTCTTCTTCCAAGTACTTGGTATCAATTAACTCATTTAATCCTCCCAATAACCTAAGGAAGTAAATGATGTCACAACTTCTATTTTATAGATGATGCAATGCTGGCCAGAGAGGTTAACTCTCCCACCGTCATCCAGCTCATAAGTATAAACAGAGCATGGACTTTAGACTCAGGAGAGCTGGGTGGCTTTCCCCGTTGCCTGCCAGTTCCTCATGGTGTGGCCTACCATGAAGTGTTTAACCATCAAATAAGGCTAATGATGCAGACCCTCCTCTCTCCTCAGCCTTCAGTGTCTAGTGTGGTGCTTAATAGTAGGTGCTTAGGACTCATTTGTTGATTAACTGACAGGGGCGGGGGTTACTATGAGGTTCTAAAGAGCTACAAAAGTCGAGATAGATACTGTTATTTTCAGTGCTCTGAGGTGCTTATTGTTGGGGTTTAACAGCATGCCTGGTTTATTTTATTTTTTATTTCTGAACCACTTGGGAAAGCACAGTATAAAGAAAGGAGAGATTAATACATTGTCATTCTTTCTGATGGTGGCTTGGGTGGAGGATGTGGCTTAGGTGTGGGCAGCACAGGCTTCCTGGTATGAAATGAGGTTCAGTAGATGTACCCACCAGTCATGGGTGCCCAGGGGTCTCCTTCCATGGGTGCTGGGGTTGGTGGTGGCAGTGGCAATCCCAGGTAGATATTCACAGGAGAGGAATGGAGCATTTGCATGAGATTATTCACTCCTACTCCCTGGGAATACTGAACAGAGGGCCATGTGGAAGCCAGGAATGTCGAGGGAAAACCCTCTGTTTGGAAGCCAGAAGAAGTTAACTGTTTAAAGAAAGGCCCCCCTTTTCCCCCTGAGATCAGAAACGCGACCCCTGCCACTGAGCCTAGCTAGTTTCCCCTTCCAGTTCCCAGCCATTCTATTCTTCCTATTGCTTACATCAAAGCTTTGGAGCCTTCCTTGAAGCCTCTCTTCCAAACCCCATATCCAGCCCACCTGCCAGTCTCTGGGCTTGACCTACAGAGCAATCCAGAACCTGACCACTTCTCATGCCTCCCATTTACTGCCTGGCTCCAAGTTGCTGTCTCTTCTAGCCTAGATGACTACAGGGTCTCCTCACTGGGCTCTCCGCATTTGCCATAGCCCCCCTTCTGTCTGCCTTCATGAAGCAACCAGAATGATCAGTTTTTAAACTGAAGTTGGATCATTCTTGTTCCTTCCATGATCTACCTCTACAGAGGTCCTTATTCTCGCTCAAGGAAAAAGGTTCTTGCAAAGGCCGATACGGCCTCCTGAAATCACCCTGAGTCATCCCCTCCCACTTCCTCTGAATGGCTCCAGTGGCCCCACTACTTCCTCGGACATGGGCTGGGCTGCTCTTTCTGTCAGACCTCCTTCCTTAAGTATATGTGGTTCCCGACTTTCAGTGCTTACAATGGTTCAACTTAGGGTTTTTTTCTTTTATGGGAGGAAGGGGTTTGAGACAGGCTCAGTGCAGACTGGGCTCAAACTTACTGTGTAGCTGAAGATGATGCTGAACTTCAGATCCTCCTGCCTCCACCTCCTAAATGTTGGCACTTGGTCTCTATTTAAAATTTTTTATGATAGTGTAAAAGTGGTATACATTCTGGTGAAAATATACTTTGAATTGTGAATTATGATCTTTTCCCAGCTTAGCAATATGTGATGTAAGACTCTCTTGCATGCTGGGTAGCAGCAGTAGTCCACAACTTCGAGCCAGCCAGATAAGATATTGAATACTTTATAATAATTAAACCTTGTATTAGATGTTGCATACTGTAAGCTGCAGTAGATGTCCTCCTCAGCATGTACAAAGTAGGATAAACTTGGATGTTTGGTAGGGTTGGTGTTTCAAGTGCATTTTCAATTTAGGATATTTTTTAGCTTGCAATAGATTTATTTGGACATTATCCCATCAAAGTTAAGGGGCGACTGCGTTTCATGAGCCCTTCCTCACTTCCTCCATCTTCTATCTTCCTTTTGGCCTGCCCTGAGTATCCCATGTATTATAACACCCTAGCACGCCTGTTCCCCTTTAACCTTAATCTATTACTTACCCAAATTACTGACTACCTCTATTATATAATACCACCCCTTCCTAAAAGAGAAGACAGGATGCATGGGAAGACTCATCTGTTTTGTTAACTGTTGTATCTCCAGCCTCTGGCTGGCAGTGCCTGGTACACAAGAGGTAAAGAATATGTCCCTGTGGCAGATGTTGGAGGTTGTGCATTGTGAGACCAATCATTGTCCCACCCTTACAGGGGTCTGGTTTTCTGGGTGCTAAGGATAGTGTCCACTGGCATAGCTTTTGTTGTGGCAGGTTCTAGCCAAGCTCATCATGCCCAATAGGTGGCTACTGTTACTGCTTCCATTTTTCTAGGTGAGGCACAGAAAGGCTAGTTCATTAGTACAAGGCCTGTTGTGGCAGCTACAAGAGTCTGTGCTCCTCTGCTCTCTTAACCCCCACTCCTTCTGCCCAGTGACTCAAACCCCATTCTCATTAAGAACATAGTTTAACTGGGGCTCCCAAGGAGCTTTGACTGTGGTTAACGGGGTGACGGGGTGCTTTGGGGACCAGGGGTCCTGGAAGGCCTGCTCTGTGGAAGGGATATTTTAAGTAAAGACTCCCTTGGTATATAAGAATGAGTGCACCCCCCCCACCCCCCAAGCCTGGTGTGGTGACACAGGCCTTTAACTAGGGAGGCAGAGGCAGATGGATCTCTGTGAGACTGAGGCCAACCTGGTCTACATAGTGAGTTCTAGTCCAGCTGAGGCTACAGGGAACCCTGTCTCAAACAAACAAACAAACAAACAAACAAACAAACCCCCAAAACACCACCACCAATAACAGTAACAAAACACTGATTATTAGCTTGCCTTTTTTTGTGTTTTTAAAAAAAATGGTCTCATATTCCTGAGAGAGGAAGAGTCTGTTTTCTTTAAGAATGTGACACTGGTTAGGGTGACCACTCTCTGGGGGCTAGACCTACAGCTAAGACTATTTGGGGAACACAAATTAGACTTGATCGGCCTTAAGGAAAAATAATAGAGGGCATGAAGTTAGGGGTAGGGAGTTGGGGGTGGGTTTCAGAAGAGATGGGGGAGGGGTTCTGAATATGATCAAAATGCATCATATGAAATTCCCAAAGAATCATTAAAAAGAAAAAAAAAAAAAGTAAATCTAGGGTCTCATTTAGCCCAGGCTGGACTTGCTGTGTAGCCTATGATGGCCTTGAAGTTCTGACCCTCCTGCCTCTACCTCCTGAGTACGGGGATTACAGACATTCACCAACACTCCCAGTTTATTTGATGCTGAGGATTGAATCAGTGTGCTGGGCAAGCACTCTACCAACTGAGCTGCGTCCTTAGCCTCTTAGCTTTTTTTTTGAGTTAACTACATAGTATACCAGGCTTTCAAAAGTGAAGATAACATCTGTTTCTGTCCCTTTAGGTCTGCGAAGTAGAATTTTTGCTGTTAGTGAAATAAAAGTGATTGGGCCCTATCTATGGTTGCTGAGAATCGAGAGCTGGATTAATGAAGGATTCAGATGCAGTTACATCTTTTGAAACATCATTTTGGAGAAGTCGTTTTCAAAACCAGGAAGCAAGTTCCATGAGAACCTTTTTTTTCCGTCAAAGCCTATATAGTGTACTATAAACAAAGACTGAGCTCCTGTGAACTCCTACTTCTCCACAACTTATAGGAGCAGAAATTTTTTAAAATTAAAATAATCCAAAGTCACGTCGTCACATAAACAACAAAATAAGCCAGGACGTTCTAAGAGCAAACATTTGCTTTTCCCACCCACAGACTTGGAAAGATGCAGGCCTGAAGGAAAAGTCGGAAGCCAGTGAGGTAATGCCAGCTCCTTTTAGTGGCTCCAGTTAATTTTAGTAAGTCCGGAAGATGCTCCTAGGCTGATGGATGATTTTAGTAGAACCAATACCTCAACAATCTCTTTTAGAAATAAAACATTATAAAAAAGACAGAGTCCTGTAACCCTTTAACATTGAGGAGAACTGCTACCTGCCTCTTCTTCTTTTCCCTGATCTTGTAGGTTAATAATGTATGGTGGGCAGTTTTTGAGGTTTGGGTGCCAACAGCCTCTTAGGGAACCTCAGTGGCCAGGGCCACTTGCTGCTCAGGCTGGCTCCAGGGAGCCATGTGCTATGGACTGCCTGGGTCTTGTCTTATGGTGGACATGACTAGATTCCTGCTGAACTGCATCTCCTTGTCTCCTTCCTGACCAAACCTGCTTCTTAACAGTTTCAGTCACACCAGGGGTATGATTCTGTCCTGGCAAACAAATGCAAGTTGTTAAACTGTGTACTGGGGATCAGCTCAGGCATGATTGCAGTACACATACTGGGCTTAGATATGAAGTGACTGTCACTTCAGAGAATGATAAATACCAACAGGCACTTTTTGGAGCTCCTTTTATTAATTTGTTGAATCTTCATAGTTAACTTGGAAGGTAGGTGCTATGGCCATCTCCAGTGGATGGAAGGGTAAACTGAGATAGAGGAATGGCAGTAGATCTGTTGCAGGCTAACACACAGTTAGTGGCAGATGTGGGGTCCTGGCACCAGAATTCATCTCTGTTCTACTTCTCACCAGGATGCAAGCCCTATCCTGAAGCATGTATGTAGGAAGGAGCCTTGCATAGTTGTGGGGGTTCTGGGTGGGCTGCCTGCTTATGAAATACTATTTGAGGAAGGCAGTCCCTTTACTTGTTACTAAGGCCAAAGGTGCTATACAGTAGATGGTGGCATTCCCTGCTCTGTGCCTTTGGATGTGTTCCTTAACCTTTCTTTATCTGGGTCTTCTCCTTTGAAAATCAAGGATATTAACAGTGCCAACATACGGGTCTTAGAAACTTATGTGCCCAGCATGTTGTTGTTATAGCAACTTCATCAACAACACTGGCAGGGATTTCAGCAGCTACGGATCTCCAGCTGTACATCAAGGTCGGTGAACTTGAACACAGAAATGCTCTACCGGGGCTAGGCAAGGTGCCAGAGTATGGAGAAAGTGGGGTAGGCATGGGATATACTGATTGGCCCTGTGACAGCTTTGTTTATGAAGTATTTTCCCAGTTAATCACCTCCTTCCTGCCAACTGCCAATAGGCACATTTTAAGTGGAGCCTGGGGCTGAGCTTTGTTTTTGTCTGCAACTTGCTGGTTGTAGGGGCACTGGAGTTGATGTGTATTCCCAGCTCTGAGTGCTGCAGAAATAGGAGCCAGGCAGGAGCAGGTCTGTAGGAACAAATAAGGACCTGCAGTTAATGTCTTGTATGCCCATTATTTGTAAAAAAAAAAAAAAAAAAAAAAAAAAACAAAAAAAAAAAAAAAAGAGAACTGATGCCTTTATTGATAAGTCCATCTTGGGAGAAGTTAGTCCCACTGGGAGTATAGGAGTTGGGCTATCTTGCCCACTGCTTTGAAACAGTGCCTGACACATAGTAGGTGTTAAGCACGTAATTGCTGGATGAAAGGAAGCTGGCTTCCTTTACTAAGATCTCATTGAGCATTCTGGTTTCACATACCCAGTGGCAGTGTCCCAGAGGGTGGCTGTTGGTGGTCACCTCCCTCCAGGTTCTGATGGAGAGAAGTGCATTTTAGCTACTTTTGCTCTGATAGATATACTTGGCTGCCTAACAAAAAGCCAGAGAAGAAATGAAGAATCTTAGCATCATTCAAAATGCTTGCCATTCCTCTTGCTTTGCGAAATCATGAGCTAGTTATTTTGAGTTCACATAAAGGTCAGAACTTGATCTGCAGGAAGGAGGTTTCCCTTGGTTTATGTGAGGGGAACTTTCCCCCTTCTGTTTATTTTACCCAAAGGCTTCTGTTTTTCTCCTAAGTGAGAATCTGGCATTTGTTGGAGAAAGTTCTCAGCTTATGTGTGTTTTTAAAGAACAGCTCATGCTCTGGCTTTAGTTTTGATTCTTAGTGATTTAAATTTTTTCTTTCTGCTTGTGAGTTGATTTTTCTGCTCCATGAAAGGCTAGCTCTTAAGAGGGTATCTTAAAAGTTGTCTACTTAGGCCTTCCTTCTAAGTGCTGTTCCAGCTTGTGTGTCCTGTTTTCTGATCATATGTGGGATTAGGGCTCTCAGAGTACATGGCTCTTCTCCCCTTCACCTGAGTCCTGCTTTTAACCACAGTGGGACACGTGGGTCCTCTTTCTCTTGTGTGTGAGGTGAAGTAGTGAAGGCTGAGTTCCAACTTGGTCCCGGTCCGTCTCTTGGAGAATCAGAGGTCTCTTCCTATTAGGGCTGGGTTAGCTCAGAAAGTAGCACAGCAGCCTGGGCTGACAGTTTAGAAGGGAGTGTAGGAAGGAGGCTTTCCTAGCTCCAACAGGCCTTAAGCCTGCTTCCCCAATTATCACTACATTGGTTATTTAGTACCCCAGAGACCCTTAGCATGGGGTCCTCCCTGGGTCCTTCCTGTACCCCATGCTCCACTCTGTCCTCTCCTTGTCTCTGCTTCCTCCCTGTGGTACTTACCTATCAGATATCCTTCCTCATACAGATTTGCATTGATATGAAGCATCTGAAAGTCTTTTTTGTTTGTAAATTATTTATCTTTTATTACATTTGTTTTACACACGTCTTTCTGAGATGTAATGTATTGTAGAGCCCATTACAGATTACAAAGCACTTTCATCACTATTACCACCCCTGACAAATAAGGCCAAGGGAGGTTAAGCGACACTGTGTGTATGTTTGTATGTATGTATGTGTGTGTGTGTGTGTGTGTGTGTGTGTGTGTGTGTGT